GAATCATTTGCATATGTAACGAATCTTTTTTTCCCTATTGCACTGCTGGCTATGTCATTTCCATACATTTCAGGCAGTTGGCAAAACATCTGGACCTTTTCAATAAGCCTTTCAAAGTGCATCTGGAGTATGAGAACAAATTCAGATCTGTATAGCATTCTTCCTGAAAGATAACATTATTGAGTTATTTCTGTCTGCATACATTTTTTTTTGTGATGTAATGCAAAGGAACTCAATGGGCAAAGTGCTACCAGCCTCATAAATGTTATCAAACCAACAAACCAAGGTCTGCTCTCCCTGCAAGCAATAAAGCCAGACACTGACATCAGAATGTATTGAAAGAAAGAGGGCAGTTGTCACATGGTGCCAGGCAAGGAGAATGGGTGGCTAATGCTCAAGGTCCTGAACTCACCATGCCTTTTAAGCAAGGGTGTTTAAAGGCAAAGAGTTATGGGCAACAGTTGGAGGGCGTTTGATCAGCTGGTGTCCATTCTTCTGATTGGTCAGGGTAAGGGGACAGGGGATTGTTTCAGGAGTCCTAGTCATCAGTCTTCTGACTCTACCGTCTGAGGTCCAGTGTTTGTTGTCAGGAGGTGGCCTATCTGGTAGGGGATGTAAGTTCCTGCAAAATATCTCAAGGATACATGAGTCAAGAGTTTATCTAGGTCTTTGAGGGGGAACTTAGAGTCCTGTGTCTGTTTAGTTTGGTTTCTTAGTTTGAAAACTCCCAGTTTCTGTAATTGTTAACTAACCAGTCTAATTCCCACACTCTGGGTCATGATCAAGAGACCTGGGCTTCTCTTTGTTAATGAGAAGTCTGAGGGGCTTCATCAAAAGGGGGGCTACCTGTGCAGTTGCATAAAGTCCCATTCCTTTTGATGTGATCTGCCAACACCCATCTACAATAAAATACAGCAGGAGAAATGGAGGAGAATAAATGTATGCTTATCTTTAACTCTATTCATTAGGTTAATGTACATCATTTGTCTGAGTTATAGTCAAAACAACCCTTTCCCTAAGGAATGATGGTCTAAAACCACGACTCCACAACCACCAGTGAAACCCCCATCTGGCCCACGAACTTGGCTCACACGGCTAACCAGCATTCGAGCACTGACCACATTTCTCTGCCTTTCCCTGCCCGAGAAGCTGTAGGCTTTTCACCACAATTTTGTATTTTGCAAGATGTTTGAGGCAGAACTGCTTGACTCAGACGGAGAAGTCCTCTGGGCAACGTAGTATCTGGCCTGAGGCAGCTGGGCTGCGTGATTTTTCCTGGGGCTCGTACCTCTCACAGTTACGTCTGGGGAACTGAGTTAGAAGCTTCACGACACATGGTCGCCAGCCACGCGTAAACACACACAGATCAGCAGGGCTTCCTCTCTGAGTATATCTACTTCGAAAATCTTCCCTCCAAGCCCGAGGCTAGATGGTTCCGTAATTGGGCCCGAAGGGAAGTAAATTGTTAAACGTGAAACCGGAGAGTCAGGGTGCTGACAGTACTGGGGTCATTACGGAGCCCCTGTGAAGGTCGGGGCGTGGCTTCAGTGCTACAACCGAAGACAAAGCAGGTGACAGTCTCTGTCCTTCCAGAACTTAAACTCTTGTGCAGGGAGACAGGGGTAACCCATACATATGGCAAGTAAAATATGTTGTAGGTTAGAAGGTGACAAGCCACTCAGTAAAGTAGAGGAGGCAAGGGAGGCTGGGTGCAGGGGCCCCGAGGGGCATATCACAACATTCTTCAACATCATCATTTCACCCTGTGGCTAGTGTCCATGTGTTGCCTGAACCTCCAGTTAGACCACAGCTCCAGCAGGGCGGGGAGCCTGGTATTGCCTGACCCTGCCGTTCCCTCATACGGCCTGGCTCTCAGGTGCCCTCACAGTATTTGTAGGTGCAAATATGTATGTATGTATGTATGTAGGTGCAACTCAAGATACCATTCTTACACACTTCCTTGATGCATTTTCTAAGATAGGTACATATATGCATTTAACAATTATAGACTCATTTAAATATTAGGAAAAGTCCTGCAAACTCTTTATAAAACATTTCTGGTTTACACTTGTTTCACAAAACACTTCCCTGTACAACTCTAAGCACCCCTCTGCCCCCACCCCAGAGAAATTAGGGTGGGGCAGGTACAACAGGAGTTTTGATGCATCATTTTGTTTTGTTTTTTACTGTTAATTGGCTTTTACTCAAGTTTTGTAGAAAAAAAAAAAAACTCAAGTGAAGTTCACAGAACTATTAGCAGGTATATTTATTTTGCTAATTCGAAAAGTAGCCTCTTTATGATGGAATGACCTGGATATCTCTCTGCCTTTCTCCAGCTTTTCAAAGACTTCCACAAAGCGAGAGGGTTTCCCAGGGTCTAAATGGAGACCTGTATTTTTCCAACGTTCTCCCAGAGGATACCCGTGAAGACTATATCTGTTATGCCAGATTTAATCATACTCAAACCATACAGCAGAAGCAGCCTATCTCTGTAAGGGTGATTTCAGGTATGAGTTCAGCTTCCTGAATCTCTCTTTCACTGATATTTACAAATATGCACAAAATGTGTTAACTATAAAATACTACCACCTTTGCAGTAATCTGGTTCATTGATCAGGAAAGTGCCTGTGAATAGTTTACTAAGTATTGGCATATGTGTTTTTTAAAGAGCATGCATATCCTAAAGACTGTATTTTATATTCTTTGCTGTTATCACCATTACTGTTACCAGGATAACTTTTTGAATTTACATGGTATTCTGAACACTTGTGTGTGCTTTATGTGCCACAATGCCTTTAAATGGCAGTCCTGCAGCTCTGCTTATATACTCACATTACTGCTGGGGGTGGCTGAGTGAGTTAAAGTTAGCCTTGTACAACTGTAAAGCACTGTTTTTAGTTGTTAGGAACGGCTCTTGTCAGCATAGCTGTATGCATTTGCTTTATTTGCCCAGTACATTTTTTTTTACAATACCTTCTCCCCTCCTTTTTGCATTCTTCATAATATTCTGTTTATTTCAGTGGATGAATTGAATGACACAATAGCTGCTAATTTGAGTGACACTGAGTTTTATGGTGGTGAGTTATGGTGATTGTAAATGATATTCTCCCCTTCATTGTAGAATTTAGTTCACTAACTTCACCTCCATGGCAATTTAACCTTATTTCTTTATGGAATTCCTAGTTATGTGTTTAATACCACTAGAATAAATGTATGTTTCTAATGAAATTTAGCTGTAAGCTTTCAAACATGTCACTAAAATATTTCCCGTGTCATATGTATAATAATGAAAGTTGTTAGAACTGTTTTCATGTCAAGAACCATTTCACATGATATGGAAAAAAGCTCTCATTTATGTTCAGAATTGTATTTTTCATGTTTTGTCTTGTTCATAAAGTTTTGTCGTAAACTAAATAAGAATTGACAGGGTGCATTAACCTGCTAGAATACTAACTCATCAAAGCCTTAGTAACCTTTAGTGACTGCAGTAAGTGGATTTTAATAGTAGATTGTTCCATTTCCCATCTAATTTCACATGACATCATCAATGCCAGATAGTTAGCAGTAGTAACTAGTTTCTCTTAGTTTTGTTTAAAACCAAGTCACTATCTTCAGCAAAAGTCATCTTTTAAAAAAATAGAGCATTTAACTTCATTCTTTTAAAAAGAAAAGAATTTGATTTCCTTAAGGGAAATGTGGCACTCAAGTATAGAGTCTATCCATGAAAATTATGAAGTCTGGATATGGGGATCCTCCTAATTATCTACAAGGCAGAATTTCTGCCATATTAAATGTTAACCCTTGAGGTGTGATGTAAAAAAAGGTTAAAGTACTATCAATGACCAGAGTAGACATACCACAACTCCTGCCCTATTTTATTTTATTTTTATTTTTATGTGCTCCTGAAAAACATGGGCCTCAAAACCATTCTCAAAGTGAATTCAGAGAAAGCTTCCTCCACAATCTCTAAAATCTTGGGAAAACTCTAATTTCTCTCAAGTAATGCCTGCTCCAGTATTCAGGTTTTTCTTCTGAGAAATGAGTATTCACTTATTACCTTTTCAAACAGTTTTTGTGAGCACCAAATAGATAATGCTTTGAAGTGTTAAAAACTGTAAAGGGCTTATAGGACCTGAAGATACTTTAGGTTTTTCTGAGAGACCATCAAAGGTTATGGCTACATTTAGATGAGGTCTCCATGAAAAAGGAGGTGGCCTGTGTAAATCTCCCACAGAGCTCTGGCTTGAACTCTTTTATTTTTTCATTGAAGAAACCAGTTTCATGTATATTTAACTCGACCATTATTCTTAATTTATGGCACACAATTTTCAAGACCTCTGTCAATAACTGTTTTCTTTTGCTTTGCCTAAACCTCCCAGTTTGGGAGTCTTGACATGCTGGACATCCACCACAGACTTATCTCCATGATTAATCAGTGGAATTGACTAGTATATTGTCCCTAGTGTAAACCAAGATGCCCCTCCCATAGTCACACCTTTGAGAAAAATCTAACATCTTCCAGAAGGTAGACAGTTAATCCTCACTTTGTCCTGAGCACTAATCTTAAGGGATAAATAGCTTGATAACATGATTTTCCTCTGTGTACATTTTGAAATTTTACTAACCCACTAAAAAGTCATTAACAAAACACCCAAATTAAGGAAATGTACAAAAAGAAAACAGTCGTTAAGTCAGTGCTTCTGCAACCAAAATTGTTTAATTCCTGGCTAACTGAGTGAGTGCTGGCTGGCTATTTTTAAGGCAGAGAGTGTATGTGTGGATTTGTAGTTCAACAAACTCTACAATGTTAAATGGTTTTGAAAAGGGATTAGATTTTTAGACAATGAACTCTTTCTAGAAATACGTATTCATAGCTTTTAATGCCTACTGATTCTCTTGTTTACAGCTAAATCAAATAGAGAGAGGCCACCAACATTTTTAACTCCAGAAGGCAATGCAAGTAACAAAGAGGAATTGAGAGGAAATGTCCTTTCACTAGAGTGCATTGCAGAAGGACTGTGAGTTTTCACCTTTCGTCTGATGTACATTTCTTATAAAATCACATCAGGTTGGGATAGAGGCATTAATGTCCTAAGAAGAGCCATTGTCTTTGCTAATTCCATCAAGCATCAAGAAATTTTTGAAAATTATTTCCAAAATAAAAGCCATATGAATTTCTTATTAGTAAAATATTTTGTTAATGTAATAGTGTTCCTCTTGAAATAAGTATCAATAATCACTCTAAGATTGCTATGATTATAATTAGGGTGTATTATTTTATTACTGTTTTGTAACAAACCACCTCAAAACTTAGAGGCTTAGAAGCAATAGTTATTTATCACTGATCATTCTGATCATTTGTCTACGGGTCTGCAGGGAAGTTATGCTATAACTGGCTAGATCAGGCTAATAACGGTTGAGCCTGCTCATGCTTCAGCTAGGAGGCTCAGCTTCACAATTCTGAGGGTCTGCTGCCTACTAGCAAGGCAGCTGAGCACTTGGTCCTGAGTTTTTCTCTTCCCTCTAATAGTCTAGCCCTGGCTTATTTTCCTAACAGAATGGCACATTGCCTCCTAGGGCCTTGCCTCAGAACCTGGCACCCTGTCCCTCCCTCCCACTGCTTCCAACTGGCAAGTCATAAGCCCAGCTTCTTCACACATGTCTCATCTGTGCCCACCTCAAAACTGATGTCACCCTCAGAACCCATGTGCCCCTGACAGGAATTGGGGGAGGGGGGCGGGCCTTGGCTAAATCCAAGAATAATTGTCATGTTAAGTACACATTCGTGGCAAGCTTCTACATAGTCCCTTCATATGCCTGGCACAGGGCAGGTGCTATGGATATGAGCTCGTTTGCTGAAAACATTGAATGGAATTGCAGAAACATGTTGGATTACATGCTGCATCTGGGTGTCCTTGGCCTGGTCACTCAATGGTCTCACATTGTCTTCCAGTCAGCCTCCAGACATAAGACACGTGGAGGCCTCTGCTGGCCATGTCAGGAAATCACACCACACACTATTCAGTTCCTCAAGTAACTGAAATCTTGCAAAACCCCTTTTAAAGACATATGAAGTGTACCTCTTTCTCAACAGAATTAAAAACAAAACACAGAACCCTTACAATGTTCATCATCATGAAGTTAGAAAGCTGTTGAATCTGCCAGCATCCAACTTTGGGGAGTAGATGTATACATTCTTACATTTTAGTGATTCCCCTTCCACAAAAGATCCATTACATAGAAAACTAAAATATGACTAGCATTTGGAAATTGCATAAAACTTATGAAAGAATTTGGAATGTTGTAAAATGAAGATTGGAGCTATATCACTCACAAACCAATAAGCATAAGACTCACAGAATCAACATATTTCTAATTCTTAACTGCTCAGTGGAGTAGTAAGCCCCAAAACAATTCATGACTTAAAACTTCGATCTCATACTTCTTTCTCCATCTCCCTCTCATCTTCAGACCATAAACATGCAGATTAATCTGACTATAAGGAAACCTCGTAATTTGTACTATCAGATTCCACGTGTGTGTGGTATCTTCAGCTTCTTGAAATGATTTCACGTTTTCAACCTCTTGTATATTCACAGCATGTTTTATTTTAGAAGCTATTTGAGATCAATCAAATATATATGTTCAGTTATTTTTGTTCCACCAAACCAAAAGCAATTTCACATCAACTAATCCCACCTGCATTTCAAATGGCAAATATGGTGACCTTGCTGAAGGCCTGGATCATTATTTACTCATGTTTATCTTCCTAACACACATCTCTGTGCTTGGTCTGTAGTTCAGTGTTTAGTAAATGTTTGTGATTAATGGATTTTTATTTTGCCCTCATGAAAACCCTCTAAAGTCACAAGATCATTATCCCTATTAAGGCAACTTAGGAAACTAAAGCCCAAAGGGGTCAGAGATCCAAGGTCAGAGAGCCACTTAGGGACAGGCCTTTTAACTCTAAGCCTGGGCTCTGCCTTTTCATCATTATCTGTATTTCATAAGCACAGGTGAGAAATGGTGTGAGTAATACATGAGTCTGATCTATTCATATCAATTGGTATAATATTTTTAAATACCTTCAAAATGAAATGAAGGGAAGTGTGCTGTTTCTCTAACCATTTCTTTCACATCATCAGATAGCCTGTTACAAAATTGAAGCCTTCTTCCATTTGATATGGAAATGTGTGTAAAAGTTCATGGGCACAAATATGTATATCAGCTCTCTCTCTGTGCATTGTTAACTCTAGCTGATAACAAATTAGGACTCAATATCGTTAGTTTCATGATAATTCTTTTGATTGACATAGTCATAATAAAATTTTCTCAGAGTGCCTCACCAATCAGAACTTTGAAGAAAATAATGAGGTCCCTTTAGTGAAGTAACTCACGCCAGCACTTTCGCTGTGTCATTGAAGTCAGAGTTTATGGTGTGCAATAAGTTAGTATAGTTCTGTGTATGTGACAATGGTAGCTTACAGACTTACCTATATAAGGTTTTGAGCATTATTTATAAATGTGTGATGCTACTTAAAATATCTGTTTATTTCTCGTGATTGTAGTATAAAGAATTTGTTACAAATCTGCAGGCAAATCCACCCTCTAAAGCAGCTAGGTGAACTTCTTTTTTGTAACATCATTTATTTATTTTATCAGGCCTACCCCAATTATTTATTGGATAAAAGAAGATGGAACACTACCCATCAACCGGACATTTTATAGGAACTTTAAGAAAACTCTGCAGATCATTCAGGTTTCAGAAGCCGACTCTGGAAATTACCAATGTATAGCAAAAAATGCGTTAGGAGCCATCCATCATACCATTTCTGTCACAGTTAAAGGTATGCCATGGTTTCAAATGTACTGCTCTTGCCTTCGTAAAAGGCTTTAAATCTCCAATTAAATGTGTCTTTGATATATTCTTCAATAATAAGAAGTGTAAATTTATATCAACACTTATGGTACCTTAAATATCTTTTCTATTTATAGTGCATCTAAATCAGGTTAAAAATATGCTCCCCCAGATCTTCCTTACAGAAGAATTCCAGTTAATAAATGTAGAAAGAATGAGGGAAGTAGAAAATCAACATTAGAATCCCACAACTATAACTGCTGCTGGCAAAAGCCAGTGATGAATGTTAAAACTAGTGGATGAAACTTTAAAGAGAAATTTGTATAGCCTAAAATACTTCTTCTCCCAAACCCACCCTCCCAAAAAAATGCGTTACTGAGGCATTTTTAACCTATGCTCACAAATTCTTTATACTCCTCCCTTAAGGAAATGGAGCTTAATTTCCATACTCTTGAGTGTAGACTGTACACAGTGACTCACTGCTAATGAATAGAGTACGGAATGCAGGAAATAGTAACTTTACAGTGGAGAAATCGCCTACACCAAGTGGTCAAGATTAACATAACCAGTAATAAGTCATGTCGGTATCAGGCACTCCCTGAAATAATGTCATTAGAAGAGTCTGTCACCCAAAACTGCAGTGTCATGAGAAAATATCAGACCAACCCAAGTTGAAAGTCATTCTACAGAAGAGTTGATCAGTACTCTTGACTGATCAAGGTCATGAGAGATGAGAAAGACCAAGGAACTGTCAGATTGGAGGAAACTGAGTAAGGACACATGATCAGTAAATGCAATGTGGTGTCCAACAAGACATCAGTGGGAAAACCGGGGGCATCCTAAAAAAGAAAGTAACTTAATGATATTGTACCGATGTTAGTTTCTTGTTTGACAACTGTACTATGGTTATGTAAGAGGTTAACATTAGAGAGAGCTGGGCAAAGGCCTTATGGAAACCTCTATACTAACTGCAACTTATGCAAAGTTTTAAAAATTGTGTCTTAATTTTATAATTATATGTATTTTACAGGGATAAGAATTCAAATTCATGTTTCATGACCCTATCTGAACCTGTAAATTGCTGTACACCCTTAGATAAATCTGTCACCTCTATGATGTCTGATCAAAGTAAAATAAGATATTTGTATCAAAAGGGTCTAGAAATAATGCATAGATGTCAGTGAATCGCTTTCAACATTCTTTTGAAAATCTGAAGTGTTCTTTGAAGCATCATTTAGAAATTTATTCACTAAAAAATTAAAGTAACAAATGTTTTGCACAACACTTATTTTTATCATTAAAACAGCACAATATGTTAAATTTGCTAGAATATTTATTTGATTCAGATTTCTGTGTTTTTTCCCTTCTCCAATGAAGCGGCTCCATACTGGATCGTGGTACCTCAGAATCTTGTGCTCTCTCCAGGAGAGGATGGGACCCTGATCTGCAGAGCCAATGGAAACCCTAAACCCAGAATTAGCTGGTTATCCAATGGAGTCCCAATAGAAAGTAGGTTTCCTTGATTGGCTCCTTTGCAGTATATTTTCAGAGCATAGTTACATCTCAACAGGGAGCAAATGATGAAATAATAGGTTAAAGAAGTAAGCCATATATGTTAAACAGAGGCACCAATTATCTTTAGATTTTTATTTTATTACCTTTAGATGTTTCTTTTTTTTATTAAGATGTCATTGATATACAATCTTATGAAGGTTTCACATGAGCAACATTGTGGTTACTGCATTCACCCATGTTATCAATGCCTCCCCACACACCCCTTTGCAGTCACTGTCCATCAGCGTAGTAAGATGCTATAGTCACTACTTGTCTTCTCCATGCTATACTGCCTTCCCCAGTGACTCTTCCTACATTGTGTGTGTTAATCATAATGCCCCTTAATCCCCTTCTCCCTCCCTCTTCACCCACCTTCCCCACCC